TTTGCGTCTAAAGCCTTCAATGCCTGCCAGTTGACTTTCGTTGCCAGCTTTGATTCGCGTGCAATGCGCCTTTCGAAATCCAGATAATCAAGCCACAAGTCCACATTTGTGTTCGCCGATTGCAAAGCCGTTGCTGCTTTAAAAAGTTTGCTTGTTTGGAAAGGGAGCTGAAGCACGTCTGCATCAGATAGTTGTCACTGAGTCTGCATGCGGTCATAATTTTTCATTTGAGACCGGATGGCCGAGTGTAATGACTTCAATGTGAGCGGGGGCAGGGAAAGCATGGTATCGCAAATGCCCTGCAACTGTTTCAGATTGCCCTCTGAAGATATCCATGCGCAGAGAGCTCTCTCCTCATCGCGCCCTCGAAAGGGGATGAGAACCTTGGCCGTCAACACATCGTGCGATTTTCTTGACAAGGGACAAGTTTTTGATTCTAGCATGTTCGCAAAGTGGTTCATAGACCAGGTGTGAGGGTCTTTGGGATCCACACCGTCGGGGCCTTCCGTTCCGCTACTAGAAAAATCACCACTGAAAACTTTTCCAGACTCGATGAGGACAAGCACTTTCTTGGCGAGGGAAGTAGCTGCCTGGTGCTGTTCGCAAGTGCTGATAAGGGCGATTAGGTTTTCCCAAACTGTTGGTGGTGGGTTGGTGGGAGTAAGGGAATGGGATGGGGTAGTGGAAGGTTGGCCGGCCGGCGCAGGCACGGGAGGGAGAAATTGGAACAATTTATTCCGAATGTTGTTGGGATGGAGACTGATCTTGAGTCGAGCACGGGAGGCGTTTCGGCAAAACCTTCGGCCCTCGAAACGGCACTCGGCGTCGACATGCAAGAGACGGGCTCCCTCGCCCCCCCGGCGTCAACGCGAGCGGATAGGACGAACAAGTACCACGCGCACTACTCTACGACGCGCATCTACACTACGATAGTCCCCAAACGCGGGCCTTCCCTCCCCTGGCCCTCCGCGCGGTAATCACGTGAGCAAGTCGACGATCTGGTCGACGACGGCGACAAGAAACGGGGGCGTCTTCTGCGCGATAGGGACGACGATATCGACGACCTGGTCCACAAGCGACGGATGTCCGGGCTCGAGCACCTCCCTCGCGAAGCAAAGCACGAAGCCGAGCGCGGCAGCGCGACCATTGACGCTCTCGGCGGCGTTCCAGAAGGAGCGCGCCGGCCTGACTGCGGCGCAGCCATCGCCTGCAGCGGGGGTGGAAACGTCGACGGCGGGCGCGACCGTGCGCCCGGGCGGGGCTCGCTTGTGCGGCGGGGCGTTGGCGATCTCGGCGAAGGCGGTGGCGAGCAGCTCGCGGCGCTGGAGGCCGGGCAGGGTGACGAAGTCGTCGTGCGAGAGGCGCGCGGCCGAGGCGATGCGCTCGTTGTCCAGCTGTGCGACGGCGCGCGCGCGCAGCCCGTCCAGCTGGGCCACGGGGTCGGGCGGCGGGCGCGCGGCGGCAGGCGCGGGCGGCGGGCGGCGCGACGCGCGGCGCGACGCGCGCGGCAGCAGCAGGCGCAGGCGGCGCGCTAGGCGCGGCAGCAAGACGCGCGCGCGCGGCGGCAGAAGTGTGTTAAAGGCCAGCGTCACCGACACGGACACCACCGCCAGCACGCCCGCCAAGACCGGCGGCGGCAGCGCGAAGGCCGGCGCGGGCGTGCAGCGCCGGCGCATTGGCCCCGGGGGTGGCGCGCGCGGGCGGCGCAGCGTGCGAATGGTGGAAGTGGCGGGCATGGTAGAAGCTGTCTTTGCAATCAACTCATACATACTTCTGAAAACTGTTTTCCGGCGAAACAGTTAAGTGATCTTCACAAACAGTCGCAGTTCGAGTTTGCCGCGCTTCCCAACGTGATGGGCAATTCTTTCAGGCGGTATGTACGGCGTTTTACGCATAGTGGTTCCGAAAACATCCCTTCAACTTCGAAGGCACTCCTCACACCCCAGGAAAACATTTCGACTTCCGAACGCACCACTTGTCCTCCTCCATCAAATCTGCGATCTTCGTTACCCCCTCGCGCGAAATCAGCCGTTCCCGCATCTCACCGACCTCCTTCTCCAGACTCGTCGTCGCCTCCTTCATCACCGCGGCAACCTCTTCACACTACAGAACCTTCTTCCCTTCAATCACACACACCAGCGTCTTCGGGTGCAGATAAGACACGGCGGAGATCTTCCCGTTTGCGATTTCGGACAGATTCTGTGGGACCTTCATTCCAAGTCATAGCTTCGCCATCATCCAGCCCCCAAAAAGAAGCACAAGGAAACATGGGTCTGCGACGTACAGTGTCCGCGCATAAGAGGCGTCCATTGCCATTACAGGCCGGAATTGGAAGCGCCGAGAAGCGTCGAAGACTAAGACCCTCTCAGACTGAGGCCACACGTTCGAACCCTACTGCGCGGGTACCCCTGTCGAATTCATCTGCGCTTGAGAGCACCGAGTTACAGCCTGCCGCACGTTCGAACCCTACCTTGCACCCACCCCGATCGACTTCATCCGCGCTTGAGAGCACTGAGTTGCATCGATCCATAGTGGCAATGCACAAGAGGTTGGCAGAAGAGCTGGCCAGCTGCAATGCCACATTATGGGACCTAGTGAAAAGCAATGCCAATACGGCGTCCAGTTTAGAGGACATCAAACTCCTCATTCTTCAAAGCTCTGCAGGTAGTTCGCGAATACCATCTCGATCAAGGGTGCAGGGAGGGTCTCGGAAAGGTGCAACTAAGAACCTGGAAAAGGACGTTCTCAAAGACAACCCCACAGTTATTATCGAAATCAATGCGGCAGTGAACGCGGATACCGTGTCAAGATCGCTTGCACAGACTCTATCTTCGTTTATGGATGTCTATCACAATAACCAGGATGACCCCCGGATGACATCGCGTGTCGTCAGCGTCCTCTTGTTCGGGCTGAAACATAACAAATCTCGTTCAGAATTCAAACACGGACTGGGCAAAAAGCATGCAAGTTTTCGCTTCATTACAGCCAAACGTGCGGTGATGAACGCAAGAAATCTCTCCGACGAAAGTATACGAGCATATGCGGCAGAATTGACAACAACCAAAGCCTTTATTGATAGGGATGCCGACCGCGATGGAATTGATGTTTATGTTTCTACGAAGCCTTCTTGGCTGCAACCAGGTGTTTTGGACAAGCAAACGCTGCACACCGCGCGAATGCATCACGAGTGCGTGAAGGCCGAGTTACCTCCGGATCCCTCCTGCCCGACTAGGCGCAAACATCTGTTCATATGCAAGAGGATCGTCACTATTATTAACGACTGTTTGAGAATCTCTCGGGATCGCTCAAAGGTCAAAATGTTCGAGAGCGGCCTCTTTCTACTGGTTAACTGGAGTGAATATGACTCTTTCCATCGCTCTCACTCGTCACCCACCTTTCGATTTTTGCACAGTGATGCGGAATCCGTCCCCGCTTCCGAGATCCCTGACACTACTGTAGGGTGGGATACACACACATCCGTCACCAATCGGAAGCTTCTGGCTGCTCTTATATCGGAAAGCAAAGACCTGGTGATACAGGCGACTTATCAGGTCACCGTCACTGGTGGTTCGAACGGCGAAAACCGTGTCACAGAGATCAAGCGCAACATTAACATCTTGCGAATTGCTCTGCGCTTCGTCTGCGCCTATTGCCATTGTGGTGAGGAAATGACTCTTGGATCACATGCGTCAATGCTTCGAACAATCTATCGGATTGCTCGGTTTCTGAGGCAATTGTTCTCTGTTCGGGCGAACTACAATCCTTCAGGTACAACGGCAACGCATGATGAGGCAACAGCTGTCAGTGGTGACGTGACAAGTGAGAGGAGCCAATCTTTGATACCCGAAATCAGGCTGCGAGAGATGTTACCGGGTAGATCGGAGAAAGAGAAGTTTATCAGTGTGGTGTTGAAAATCTCCAAAGAGACATTCGCCAGATTAAACATTTCTGCACCGCAAGACATTGACAGCAGCGAAAGCGCTGTGCTAAGCGGCACCAATGAGTGGAGACATCAAACAGAAGATTTGGAAGATGATTTCGACAGTGACGATGATGATATGGCGGGAATGCTAGACTAACATTTCTGCCCTGATAGGTTACGTAAAGTTCGGATTTGCACGACCAGTGTCAAGACGGGTTCAGCAGTACGCGCTAAGCTGCATGCCAACAATTGCACGCCTTCACTATCAGAAGCTGCAGTATTAGAGCAGGTGAAAAAGTCGGAGCTCGTTCTAGTGGAGGACATCACTCGGGAAAATCGCATGAGGGGCGCGATCAGCATTCGAAAAAATCATTTCGGCTGCTCATGTCGGCAAGAGTGAACAGGGCGGAACCATATAGTTTATCCTACCTCCATAGTCACCCAATGAATGAACGAATTGCACCACCATGTATCCCCCAACTTTTTCCGAGCAGCATCTCACTTGTTCAAACTGAAGAGCATGTCCAAGCATGACCCATTCTTCGGTCTTAAGAGTCTCCCTAACCCGGATCTCCGCCTCCTCCAGCTTAGACGGGTCCAACAGGACCTCGCTAAGCACCCTGAAAGCAAAGTCCGTGACGCTATGAAACTCGTCCGGGCATCCCTTGACGCCGCGCATGGCGTCCTTCGTGACAGCGGCGTGGTTGCGGCAGATGGCGTTGGCAGCCTGCTTACGGTGTTGGGCGCCCTCATGGCCATCGTTGAGCACGTGCTTGCTGCGGGCCGTCTCGACGGCCAGCGACACCGGGCTCCGCGTGCGCAGGAAGGACACCGGACCGATCTGCGGCGGCAGGGCGCCGATGTGGGTTCAGTCGTCGCTCTGCAGGTACGTGGCGGGCTCCCAGGCGTCCCGCGCGGCAAACCAGCGGCGTAGGTTCGGGCGGCCGTCGGATAGCTCCAGGTTGCGCCAGAACTTGAGAGAGGAGCGCGCGCGCTCGAAGATCGTGGCTGGGGAGGAAGGGGTGTTAGGATCAGGCGGGCATTGTTTGGAGAAGCAAAAAAAGCGAGTACAAAGGTGATGAGGACTTACAGAGATGTCGACGAACGAGGGCTCCGGGCCCGGGTAAAAGAAGGAGCCCTCAAAGTCGCCGAGGCAGGTCTCGATGAGATCGAGGGTGTGGTTGACCGGTTCCAGGCCTCTCCCGGGGCTAGACATGGCGCCTCGCAGGGCGCCGAGCCACGAGCCGGTGAAGACGCGCTCGAGGCGCATGTAGCGGTGAAAGGCCTGCATCATGTCGTTATCATCGACCGGAATCATCTGGCGGTACGGTGTCTGAAACGTGTCCTCCAGCATGAACATGATATCCATGGACACAAATTACAGTGAATGTACACAAAAATGGTGATTTGTGTACACACATTTTGTGTATTTTGGGTTTCAGGAGGCGCCCATTATTTCTTCGATGACAATGCGTCGCAGAAAGTCAACAAAAGATTTCCAAGGCCGTGCAATAATTTGTTTGCCAAAGAAGCATGTTGAAATCGTTAGCTTGATACCCTCTCCAGAAGAGCGCGACTTCTATGCAGCCTTGCATGACCGCACCAAGACCCAGTTTAATACATCTGTCAGAGAAGGCAAAGTCATGAAGAACTACGCATCTATTCTTGAATTGCTGCTCAGGTTGCGCCAAGCTTGCGATCATCCGTACCTGGTATTCGCTGCAGCGCCCAGTAAGGATTCAGTCGTCATGAAGGACAGGGACAAACTTTTCAAACAATTTTTGCAAGCAGGGTCCTCATCCCAATTTGTTGAGAAGATATATAACGACGCTGAGTCTGGCACACTGCAGAGGTCTAAGGAGTGTCCACTTTGCTTGGATGTGATTGATGATGCTGTTGCACCGAGAGAATGCGGCCATCCGGCTTGTAGAAGTTGCTTGTTAGAATGCGTGCAGCGGACCAGGAGGTGCCCTGTCTGCAGAGCTGACATTACCTTCGAGAGCATTGCTACGCTGCCAAGGGCTACTAGATTTTCAGTGGATCTCAAGACGAGATGGAGATCCAGCGCTAAAGTAGACGCGTTACTGAAGGACCTTGCCGAAATACAAACTCTCCGAAAACAGAATGGTGCTGAGGGAGTCGGAAAGACAGTCGTTTTCTCTCAATTTACGAGCATGCTAGATCTCGTCTGGATGGCTCTCGACAGAGCGAAAATTAAGTCTCTCCGTATCGATGGATCTGTTCCTCAAGCTCAGAGAGCAACAATTTTGGAGCGTTTTGAGAACGAGAAAGAGTTATCATTGCCCACTTCAAATGTCTTGCTTGTATTCCTTCGGGCGGGCGGCGTTGGTCTAAACCTTTGTGCTGCATCATGTGCCATCCTCTTAGATATTCACTGGAACCCTCAAGTCGATGCGCAAGCACAGGATCGTGTGCATAGGCACGGGCAAACCAGAGATGTGGTCATCAAGAGGTATATCGTGAATGGGTCGGTGGAGGAACAACTCCTAAAAGTACAAAAAAGGAAGCAGGATATCGCAGATGGAGCCCTCGGAGCAGCTACCAAGAAAGACAAGAAGCAGGCTGGGTTGACCGAGCTCAAGCTTTTATTCGCCGAGGCCTAAATTGTCGCTGCAGCTGTTTCGCCGGCTCTCTGCTTGCCACGAACGCCTTGGTTCTTACTGAGATCAGTCTTCCTTTTTTGCTAGAGCGTTGAATGACATCATCACACTCACTGAACAGGCAATGAAGAGCGGTACACATGACGGACTGATGAGTACAGCCAGAATGCCATGTCCTCCAACAACCTCTAAACACCACGAAAGACTTTTCAATAAGCAAAAAGGGGACCAAAACTCGCGCAACGGTTGACCGCTGCAAGATTGTAGCCTGCCGTGATGACATCACAGCTAGGTAAATACTACGATTGCACCCCTAGTCCCCTGATCACACTGAGGTTGCCCTACGAACGCCTACAGTAGGGTTGCTAGTGATGAGAGGGCTCGAAGGATGGCGATAACTCCTCGCAGTTGATCCCAGCTCGCATCATGTCCAACCGCCAACTTCTGGCTACTCCTCCAGTTAGTAATACCTCGCACAAGATTGTCAACATGCTCGACAAGCTCATCTGCAGCGCTTCCACAATTCCAAACTGTTCCACTCCGGCTAGCGTTGGTAAAAAACTGACCTCCGGCATACGTACGTAGAAGGTGTCGGACTCCTCATCGCTCTGGTAAACGAGGCATGGACGGAGACTGCTCCGTCGCGGGTAACCCGGGCAAATTGGCCGTGAAGATGGTCCTCGGCCCATTCAAGAACGTCCACAACAACTACTCTTTCGCTCCCGCCTACCCGAACCACCAATCCGCCCCTCCACCTCATCAACAGTCTCTCCCGGTCCATACACCTGCATATCCGCCCCGCCAACCCCAGCCGTACGCACACCAACCTCATTCCCAACAGTATTCACCCCACGATCAGACGTACCACCCGCACGCCTCGCAGTAAGAGCCCAGCTCGCATCATGTCCAACCGCCAGGATATCCCAGCGTCGGAGGAGCTCCATGTCATAACATGTAAGAGCTCAAACACAAAAAAAATTACCAAATGGCCTTGCACTGAATCATTTAACGCGTTTGTACTGAAACGTTCGACAACTTTTTGAAGTCTCTGAGACTTTCACAATTCATAGATGTGTCTACGACGACATACGTGACTAGGTGCTCATGTGTGGTTGACCCTTTGTACAAAATACGTGCGTCAAGTACTCATCTGTAACCAAATAGCTGACTTCGGACACGGCCTGAAAGCCTCTAATAGGGAAGTAGGGGAGCTCAACTTCGAGAGACCCGCAAACGTGTTCAGAAACGGATGTAGCTGTACTCCAGAATCGACTGTTCGGGGGAACTATCGGACGCCACCGGAAAGAGAAAGTTTTCAACTCCGAGAAAACAGTCTTTACAGCTTCGTCCTCCGACACCTCGCTCGGTGTGGCTGAAAGCCTTGCCGCGAAAACCTTGCTTACAAGGTCAACTGCTTGAAGTGATGAACGTGAGAGAGGGTGAGTGTACGACATACTTCGAAAATCGAAATCTCGGCTCTTTCGGACAAGGGCATCGACCGTCGCCTTGCGACGAACGTATGGCATACATGTTCCCACCAGCAGTGCCGCCGCCGAATTCTCATCGGTGTCATCTGCGACATACAGCCCCATAATGCGAATTGCTTCATGCACGGTTCCTTCTTTTCCTCCTCCTTTCCTCCCTCGCACAATATTTCTCATGTCCGCGACAGAGTTTATGCCAATAACTGTGCACAAATCTTTGCATGATGGGAAAATTATCTCTGCGAGCTCGGTGCACGCTGCGAGAGACTGGGTTTCCTGGAACGAGGGCTTGAACTGGGCAGAATCGGACAACGAATGAACAGCGCGGGCCAAGTTCTCATACTCTTCCAAGGTGCAGTCTACCACTGAACGAATGCTTCCGGTAGAGCTCTCTTCGTAGTGTGTGTCCTGCTCCATATCCCCTTGTCGCGGTTTGAAGTTTGGTACCGGCTTCTGGATGAGTACCAATGTTTTCTGTCTCAAAGTATTTAGGAGACGTGCACATTGCCGTTCTGCCGTTGATCCAGACCCGATCCGAGAAAAGAATTGAAACTGGCCAAACAACCATGCGCTCGATTTCTTCAACTCGAGATAAAAGCGTAGCCACTTTCCCCTCCATGCTATACAGTCGTAAATTTTGTACCGCCTCCCCATCACCAACTCCATTTTCGCTCTGGCGAATAAAATTTTCTCCGTCTGTTTCATAGCTCACCTATCCTGAGCACTCATAATAACGCCACCGCAACTGAGTGGCGTCATCTTCCACCAAGCGAATATAATCAGGAAGAACCCACACCATCGCTTGTTGTTCATCGAAACCCTCCCTTGCCACGTATTTCAGTTTCCCTTTCACTCTTCCCTCGACCACTTCCTTAGTTACTAACTCTGCCCGCCACCAGACGGATGCAAGCGTTCTCTCACCTCGCCTTCGTCCGTCCCCTTTGGTTAATTCGATGTCCCAGAGGACCTCAATTGGTATCCCAGGTACCAAAGACTGCATTTGGGTACAGTAGTCTGAGCCTTGGGAAAGGCTTCCTGTCACTATGAATTCGTCATGAAAAAGCACGCTCGCCTTTTTTACACGTGGCACACAAGACCCCCAAGTTTTGTTTCCCGAAGTCACCAAAGGACAAACGGGGCTTCGTCCCGTCCTTTCTCTCCGCAACCAGATTCCGAAGTCGTGCGCAACCCTGCCGACTTACCCCAAATACCACGCAAATCCCCCGCCATGGTCGAGCAAAAAGAAGTCATCCGCCCACCCCCTGATGTGTATCTGATCGACCCTCCTCCGCCCCCCTTCACCGTCCCCTCTGCCTACCGCGCCCCGCGCCCCGCCCTCTCATCTCAACTCGCAAGACTTCATCTTCGATCTCGGGTCGTCCACATTGTGGCCGCCTTCTCAGGCTCCTCCATGCCAATCTTACAAACCCCACCGTATGTCGCCCGCATGCGCCATGCTATGATGCCGAGTGGAAGAAAATTAGAGAGGAACCAGATAACTATGACGAAGTGTCAAAGACAGTCAAGGTGGAAACTGGGGAGGCGAGTGATAAGCCGGCGACGAGCGCGGAGGAGCAGGCGAGAATTGATAATGAGAGGAGGTTGAATAAGTTAATGCAGGATAAAAAGAATTCAAGAGCCGGCGGAAGGGATAAGGATGTGTCGGGGACAGAGGCAGAGCCAGTGGATACATCGTATACACTGGAGGAGGTTGTGTATTGAAGATATGGGGGATATAGATGAGGACAAGTACTACATTTCCATGTGCGTCGGACAGTGGGAATCGTCGACAGCGCTGAACCAAGAGATCGACAAGCGTCAGCTGCTCGAGAATGACGAACGTGCCAAATTGAGCGCGGGAAAGGCAAGGGCAGCGGAGGTGGCGTGGTGGAAGCGCGTACGAGCACACGAGCTTCTGTCGATGTCAGAGCTGAGCGCGCCGTAACTCAAGCAAAAGCGGCACGAGCGCGCGCTTTGCGGGGCTACGGAAGCACGGTTACGGGGGAAAAGGGTCAAGCTCGCGGCGAAGGCGGAAGCGTAGAGGAAGGCTGAGGATATAGAGAAGATGCGCATGGAGAGGCCACAAGAGTATCTGACCGAACTGCGAACGGAGCGAGATGAGCTAGCTGAGCGTTTAAATCGAAAGGACGCCGCGCGCGAAGCGAGGTGGGATCGGCGGTGGCAGGCTGCAAGGGAACGAATGAGGTTGTTGGCACAACAAGCAGGAAGCAATGCAGGTTTCAACGAATACCCAGGGCGAGGGAACTCAAAGGGGCGCGAGAGAGGAAGTGGAAAGGAAAGAAGGACGGGCCAGGGGAGGGGACGAGGGAGAGGGCGTGGGAAGAAAAATGTGGAGGAGGACACGTTTAGGGTGGACGATGCGGACTGGGATGTGTACAGATCAATGAAGGTTGGAAACGATGGGACGGATTCTGAAGACAACTCTGGAGAAGAGCGTGTTCGTTTGAAATCTGTGCGTACTGAGATTATGATTGAGTGTCTCGTTAAACCTGTCAGGAAGTACCGCTTCTACGAGGTTATCACTGAGGATGGAATTGCTGGTTTCACGGAGAAGCTTTTCGACATCGGCGTGAATAGCACGCATCTCGCTGTCGTGGTAGTGATGTTTGGCAAATATGAAGTAGTATAGCGTGAAGAAACCGAGAAGAAGAAAACACATTCGATACATGGTGAGTAATTGCTGCCAAGCTCCGAGCCGTGAGCGAGCCTGTGGGGGGTTTGTTGGTCGCCATCCTGCATGAAACGATCGAGAGGATTTCCTCTCCCGCTCAGATGTAGAATTCAGCCGTGGGAGGCGCGGTGAGTGGGAGTCATGGAGGCCAGATAATGTTGCAGCTGGGTGCAGGTTACGAGCGGTTGTGCGATATTGTGTCAGGAGATCGGAAATGTCGAACGACATCGGAGAGTGGAACTTATGTGTGCTACGTGTTTTAATTGGCTGTCTCTACAATGACTTCATTCATCTATTTTTAATTGGGCCCTCGTCGTCTGCCCGTGCCGCACGTCGCACGGGCCGTGCGGCGCGCGAATGATCACAAGTGGCTCCTTGGAAAACTCCCTATCGCTTGCGGCTCGTCGCGCTGAAGAGCTACACAGAGCTCGGTGTTAAGGAAGTCGGGCTGCCGCGTGCAAGCGTGGTTGTGCGAATTACTGGTGTGTGCGTTGTACGCATCTTCGGTGCGCATGTAGCGATGCTGGCCTGCTCCGCCTCAAAACGGCGCTGCGACTCAGCTTCCTTCTCCGCTTTTTTTCTTCTGTTCCGAGCAGCTTTTGATTCTGTTCCACCCCCCAATCTCCGGGCGACTTCATTGCCTTCGGGTAATTGGGGATTAGCGTTGTCTGCCGGTTCTGCTTCTTCCTCTTCGATAACGCTCTCCAGTCTCTCAAGCGCCTGCGCTTCGACTAGTCGCTTTGCAATCTCGCGATGGTCATCACTGGCGACTCCTTGCTCATCTGGAACTACGGCCGCTCCGATTTTCAACGCAGCGATAAGTCAGG